GGAAATCTATGGGAGAGCCTTGCAATTATTCTCACTCTAAGTACTTTGCCTTCTTCTTCACCCAAAATCTTTGAATTTTCCAACAACATTCTTGAACCCTCGCATACATTTCGAAAAGCATGACTGTATAGAAGAAATTTCTGAGAGGTGTTCTAAAAGTAGTCTTTTCTACGTCTTCTTTGGCCATTTTAATCTGATTGTATCCGCTGAATCCATCTATGAATGAGAACATCTGGTGTCCTGAATTGGAATCCACAAGAGTGTCGATGTAAGGTAGAGGAAATTCATCCTTAGGGCAAGATTTGTTCAGATCTCGAAAGTCTATACATACTCTGATTTGACTATTTTTTTTCTTTACTGGCACTATGTTCGCTAACCACGTGGGATACTGTATTGACCGGATAAAACCTGCCTGTTGAAGTTTTTCAATCTCCTCCTTAATTTTCTTTTCAAGATCTAGGTGATATTTTCGAGCAGCTTGCTTGATTGACTTGGAGTTTGTAAACACATCAAGATAATGGCAGACTCAGCTAACACATCCGAGTAACGGCTTATCAACTTTAGCAACTGCTCTTGCTTTTTCGGGCTAAGGCTCGAACTTATGAATATCAACCTTGGAGCATCTTGCCTATCATCAGATCTACTTCAACAAGTTGTTCAGGCTGAGGCTGAGGCCCGTCTTGCATGCATTCTGGAGCCACTTCAAGCTTTATTACTATGTCATTGTCAAGAGGCTCTTCTTTTGACTTGGAGTTGGTGGCTAAAGAAACCGACTCCCCGCATTGTCTCCTTTTCAAACTTTCATCACCTTCCGAGGAATAGGCAGACTTTCTGGTTGAGACGTCGTCCGCTTACTTGATTCTGCCTTTGGCTCCTTATCATCTTTGATATCCTTCCAACGAGGAATTTTGACCCCCCAAGGCTTAGAGGTGGTGGGACTTTCTTCGACAGACAATTCGGTGAAGTAGATGGCATCAGAATAATGAGCTTCATGGGTCTCGAAAGGCCTTTCTGTAGCCTGAATTGTCACCGTCTTCTTTCCCCATTTAGCTTTAACACACTGATGATAACTTGGCGGTACAGTCCCATATCTATGCATCCACGTCCTCCCTAGAATGATGTGATAGTTTGCCTCTGAGTTGATAATATGGAACTTGGTGGCCGAACGAATCTCTCCGACGGCTAAATCAACTGTTACGCATCCCATAGTAACTCTTCTTTCTCCACTGAAGCCAGTGATGACTATCGGCTGCTTCACAATGCGCTCTTCAGAGATTCTGGCCTTCTCTAGAGTAGCGCGGGTTATAATGTTGATAGAAGCTCCACTAACTAGAAAGGCCCTTTTGAACTCAACCCTGTTAATATAAACAGTCACATAAAGCGAACGGTTGTGAGAAAATGGATACTCCCAATCAGTCTCAGAGAAAGTAATGGCACTAGATTGCTTTTTTGCCTTCCTCGGGATGGATCCCTCAGTTGACATGCATTTCTCATGGTGTGTCTCGACTATATTAATGATAGCCTTGGTGATTTCTGTTCTCGCCTCCCTGGAAAGTCCAAGTTGGTCGAAGAATTGCTTGAACTTTACACAGTCTTGCAGAGTTTTGGCGTAGTGATTCGAATCTTTCTCCACTCTTGGAGGCTCGTAGTTAACCATGTCCTCGGTCTCTTCAAAATAGGATGCCACATAAACATGATGTCCTCTTCTTGCGTAGTATTCTTCTCCTTCTTCTGAATCGAAGGGATCTTCAACATGAGGCATAAAGGCTTTGCCCTTTGGATCGAGAGCACTTCCATAATAAACTTGTTCACCCTCGGGCTTTAAGGTGTCGTCCAGATAAAAATCGTTGTCATCGAGATTGGCGATAGCCTTAATCATCGGGCCTTCATATGCTATCACAGCCATATTCTTGCCATTGTCTCAGTGCTGAGGATATAGTTGTTCTCGGATGTCTTAAGTTCCTTGCTTTTTAAACCTCAATTCGTCTACGTCAACTTTATCTTTGAAAATTTTCTTGAGAGTCCAACACTTCTCTGTCTGATGTTTCAATGTGTAATGATAGACGCAAAACTCGGGGCTCTCACGGTCCTTCTTTGATAGGACTTCCTCGACTTTTAGCTCTCCGTCGGCCACCCATTTCTTAACGAGAGCTTTTACCTCCTCAATTTTAGCCCTTTTCACCACTATATTGTTTCCTCTTCTGGCCTCTATGATCCCCTCCTTTTGATTTCTCAATATTGGGGGCAGAGGCAGCAGCAATGATATGTCCACAAGACGACTTGAAGCTAGTTTTGTAACTAGCCTTAAATCCGGACTCATGAGCCTGAGGAGTGCTAATGTTCCGAGCTGCTTCTATCAGTGTTGAAAAGGTGGGTAGCTTGTGATTAACTAGAAACAATTTGTACCTGTTCAATGTACCCCTCTAGAGAGATTTGAACCAGATAACTCTCCTCCACAGCTTCATGGCAATCCACAGCCTTGTCTTGAAACCTTATGACGTAGTCAAGGATGTTCTCACTTTCTCGCTGCTTTTCCATACACAATGTAAGTGTGGTCACCTTCTCTGCCACTTGAAATAACTTGGAGTGGAATTTGTTGACCGTTTCCTCCCAACTTTGGATAGAGTTTGGGACCAAATTAACATACCAACTATATGCTCAGTCAGTAAGGGACTTAGAGAACTCTCTTAGCTGAAGGACGTGGTTTGAACCATGAATACCCAGAGTCCCAGTGAACCACACAACATGTTCTTGAGCATTTCTTTGTTTGCCATCGAATTTGATGAACTTCGGCACCGTATACCTCTCAGGGTATGGATAGCTCAGCATCTCAATAGGTTATGGTGGCTTGACATCCGGATTGGGCAAAGAGGGTAAAGTCCTCTTGTCCCGTTCAAGATCGAACATAGGTCGCACATCGATAAGAGTGAGAAATTGTTGAGGGAGAGAATTTGATAGTGGCATTCCCAGAACTTGGCTTATGGACCCGAAGATTGAGCTAGAAGCGGCTCGGCCATTTTGGTGTTAAGATTTCACCATTGGTGAAGACACGTGACGATATTGGCCATCTGCACCTATGGACAAGCCAGTTTTTTATGGGACATTGAATTGAGGTCTATAAAGTCCACTGCACATCACAGCTATACCGGGTTAGGCTTGCAAATTTGTTGTCGGCACCAAAGGAGGCTCGCTTGGTACGCGAGTAGCGTTTACTGGTGGTGGAACGAGATTAGGTACGAGCAAAGCTCCTTTTTGTGCAATCATGCCCCTTACATTTGTTTGGACACCAACAGTCGTCGGAGCGCCATTCATTACACCGGAACCTCCCTTAGTCACCATTGGATCTTGGCTTGGCACACCAGGGAGCCCGAGCATGGGCAAACTGCTACTGCCTACTGTTGTCTGAGCATGTGTTGTTGCTGTTGTGTTGCCATGAGCCACAGGCTGATTGTGGCCTACTTCTCCTTGGGTTTGATTTGGCACTCCGGCGGGGATAACTTCACCTCAAATTTGATTTCCATTTGGCGCCGGTGCAAAATTAGAACTCATCACCAACATGGTGTGAGTGAGATTCTGAAGAGTGGTAAGAATCTCTTGCTAAGTATTTTGAAGTCCTTTAATGGCTTCGAGCAAAAGTGGTTGATCTGGAGCCATGGTTCTATCATCACCACCATTAGAGGATCCTTGTTGGTGAACTTCATCTTCTCCCGCCATCCTTGTCAGAGTTGTGTGGGTTCCGGATCTTGTTGAGATCATTAACACTTAGAAAATATGAAGAAGAAGAACTCCGAAAATATGAGGAAGAAGGAATATATTTCTGTTATATTCA